TCGAAGGGCTATGCTTGAGTCTCTGTGACCGTGACTCTTGCACTCTCCTAACTCCCACCTCCTGTTCTCACTCGGTCTCTGTGCAGACACAGCATTCTTCACTGTATTCGGTGGCCACGGCTATAAACAACTTCAAGGCTATTCTCTGTTTATCGCCTGTTCTTCCTGCGACGCAGCCTTCGAACTGTACTCCTTTGTCCCTGGAGCAGGTTTCCTTCAGAGAACAAGCCACAGGGACCCTGAAGACTCCCTTGACCTGGTAGCTACCCTGCTACTGTTTCTAGCTCTGTGCATCTCTTTTAAAGAGATTATCTCACTTATTACCTAGAACGTCTGTCTTCTGTAGTCAAGTCTAGACAGAACTCCTCCACACTGGCTGGGTTGTGTTTGTATTGTCTGCTTCTGTGTTCCTGGTGCTTAACGTTGGGCTCAGCAAGGCTTAGCAAATGTTTGTTGAATGGGGAGTGACTTCTTTACAGGCAAGGTATATGTTCCTTCTACAACCCACAAAATATAAGGACAATATTGCAGAACATATGGGTTTTCCACCTACCGTATCAGCACTGTAATTTTAACCTTTCAGTATTTGGGGGATTCAGAGGTTTCATCTCTGTTGCTTTTCATGTGTTTTGTGATTCAGTAAACATACTGTGTGCTTGCCATGTGGCACTTTTTAAACGACCGTGGTCATGATGTTAGATGGTTGTAGTAGAATGCAAGACAGAAAAAAAAATGCTTGATGTTTGAATAAATCTAATTGAGGAAGGGATTGTGGAGTGATGCATAAATACATAAGCCAAATAAATAAAAATAACAATCAGGGGCAAAAGCCACAATAAAATGGTTGAAGGAGGCCAGGCCAATCCTCCTTAAAGAGATAATATTTGAAGTAGGATTCAAATGTTACCACATATTGAGAAAGTATCAACATACATCTTAGACTCATGTCTGGCATATAATAAATTCCAGAAATGGTAAGAATTAGCATTTGGTTAAATGGTTAAAATGTATCCGAAGAAGTACATTTCAAAAGTCTCAGAGTTGTGTATGGTGGCACATCCCTGTAATCCCAGCCTGAGGAAGCTGAAGTAGGAGAATTGAGAGTTCAAGGTTAGCTTGTGTTGATGGATGATGGAGCCTGTGCTGATTAGCCAGATTACACGTCAGAACAACAACAAAAACCACACAAGAAATGAAGGCTGAGGCAGAAGGATTCAGAGTCTGAGTTTAGTCTGAGTCATCTAGCCAGATTCTACTTCAAAAAAACAAACAAAAGATCCAAAACACAAACACACACACAACAAACTGAAAGTATATGAAGTATGTTGTCTTTTACAAGTAAAATGTTACAATTGCATCTATATTATTTATAGAGTGAGAAGACTCTGTGTGTGTGTGTGTGTGTGTGTGTGTGTGTGTGTGTGCATCTATTTCCTATTTGGGTCAATGAACTAAGTTTTAACTGAACGTCCTGTTTAGTTCTGAAGTTATTAACACTTTTAAAGTGGTACCATCGATGCATTTAATGATCCCCTGCATCTGCTTAACATTGTACCAAGAAAACACAGAAACAGGCAACAATAGCTATTTATAAGTGGATCCATCCTTGCCTAAGGTCCCATGAGCAAATCAATAAGTTCTTCCTGGTTTCTTATATCTAAGGTGATAAAATGGTGAGAGAGAAAGTGAGAGGTACATTGGGTGGAGACATTCAGTGTGCTTAGGAACAGTTTAATGTAAGCACACGGCCGGAGAATAGAAAATTATGGGCAATTCCTGTCTTCCTGATTCTACAGTCCAACCACTGGTGTCCATTGGATGGAAGGAGCAGGGTGAGGGCCTGCCTCTGTTCCTGGCTCTTCTCACTGAATCCCTCAAACTTTGCACGGTGGTTGTTCCCGGCTGTGAGTCACACACTGGGGTTAAAGGAAAGAAGCAGAGAAGCAGATGCAGAGGAGCTGATTTCCAGAGGAGCTCTGTGCTTGAGCTGGAGGCCCCAGGGGTATTCTGGGTATAAATTATACATTAAAGATTTCCTCCATTTCCCTGGGCTCTCATCCTTTGCACCGTAACCACTGGCTCTGGCCAAAGGCAGCAACAGCGGTCTCAGGGCTGGCCCACAGGTAGGGGAAGGTGAAGCCAACGACACCAGAGGTGCAAAAAAAAAAAAGTAAATGGGACCCAGCAAATCTGGGTAGGGCATTCCACAGTATTCATATCTCCGATTTATAAAAGGGGAAACGGACACTTGGGGAAACAGTTGGCTAACAGTTCCTACTTAAGTGGCAGAGCTCAGCTGTGCATCCAGTTAGATTTGACCCAATAACTTATTCTCATTCTCTTCTAACAAATTCGTCCCCTTTTCTGACCACAGTCAGGAGTTCTTACCTTTATGAAATCCTCAGTCTAAAGGGTGTGAGTTCCTGTTTCCTCACACCTTATATACCTTTTTCTGCCCTGCCATATTACTTCTTGGGATTAAAGGCGTATGTCCTTCCCAAGGAAAAACGTGAGATCTCAAGTCCTGGGATTAAAGGTGTGTGTGTGCTTCCCAGTACTAGGATTAAAGGCGTGTGCCACCACTGTCTGGCTCTGTTCCCAGTGTGGCCTTGAACTCACAGAGATCCGGACAGATCTCTGCCTCCCGAGTGATAGGATTAAAGGTGTGTCATCACTGCCTGGCCTCTATGTCTAATCTAGTGGCTGGCTCTATCCTCTGATCTCCAGATAAGTTTGTTAGGGTACACAATATATTGGGGTACATATTATATCACCACAACCCACCGTAGATACTGGGAACTGAACTCAGGTCCTCTGCATGAGTGTAAGTGCCCTTCCTTGATGAGCCACCTTACCATCTCATCCCATCCTGGACCCTTTACAGACATTTCTCTGTGTCTTTTATATTTATAGCACATTTCAATTTGGTTGTGAAATATTCATCAAAAATACTTGATGTGAAATTATATTTCACAAAATTTACAGTTGAAGCAGTAGATTATCAGAGCCAAAGGGTCCAACATGATTAAAAGTTTTCTGTCACCAGCTGGAGCATTCTTTTTTAAAAAAATTAAATCAATTGAAGTACTAGTTTCTCATAGTAGCCTCACTTAAAAATGTCCAATAGTTTTTGCGTGGCTCATGACTAATGTACCAAGTAGTACAGAATTGTGTACTATGAAAAGGTGTAGGTGTACGCCGTGATCCTAGCACCCAAGAGGCCAAATTTCACAAACTCAAGACCAGCCTGGGCTGTATAGAGTGAGACCTTGCATCAGAAGCAAAACAAAAATGGAGGCCAAAGTGATGGCTGAGAGGTTAAAAGCACCTGACCTGTTGCTTTTTCAGAACACCGGAGTTCAGTTCCCAGCACTCACACTTGGGGGTTCACAACCACCTGTAACTCTTGCTCCAGGGTTCTTCTGGCCTGCATGGGGACTAACACACATGGTAACACCACACACACACACACACACACACACACACACACACACACACACACACACACAGAGTCTTTAAAAAAAAGGAAAACAATCAAGCCAGTCAAACCAATACCATTGTCTGTCATGTGCTGCCGAGTAATAAACCAAGCCCTACTGGCCAAGAACAATGATTTTCCTGCAATTACTCAGGAGCAATGACAATGGCTGTTTGCAGCTTTGGAGTAAGACTACCCAGGAAGATTTGGATCCGGTTTCGCCTGATCTTTAAATTGCTGACGTGTAGTAACTGATCTTCATCTCAACGGTGTACCCTGGGAACCCAGTCGCTGTCGGTTTCAGTGGCCTTATGAGAAATTCCACAATTGGAAAGATCACCCATGAGTGGTTGTTTTGATGCACTAACCTCATCTATAAGTGTGAGGTGGTGCTGAAAGGCCATCATGGTACTAGGATATAAATCACTAAAAGGGAAAAAAGGAAATAATGTCTTGTGTATCTTTAAAGGTATGTACAGGTTTATACCAGAAGAAAATAAACCTCATTTACATAAGGCATAGTCAGCAATATTCATGTTGCTAGATTTGGTGGCTCGTGACTCTAATGTCAGTACTCGAGATTCTGAGGCAGAAGGTTCATGAGTTCCAAGACAAATTAGATTACACAGAACAATCCTAACGAGAAGAAGGTGGGGGGGGGGGAGAAAGTTCATCCATGTAACACTATTATTAATTTCCTCAAATTGGAAATTATCCAAGCACATGTTAACATCAACAGTAAAATAGGCCTGTGGTGTCATCGCTTGATAGTAATGCTTGCTGTAGTGTATGAAGCCCTGGATCCTACGCAGTGCCCAAAGTAAACAACAACAGAACAGAGAGAGAGAGAGAGAGAGAGAGAGAGAGAGAGAGAGAGAGAGAGAGAGAGAGAGAGAAATTATTTTTAAAGACAATGTATTTTGTTTGATTTTTTTTATTGTTGTTTTTCATTGAGATAAGGTCTCACTGTGTAGCCCTAGGAGACCTGGAACTTCATATGTTAGACCAGGCTAGCCTTCATTCAGCTCTAAGAGAGCCACCTAAGAGAGCCTCTTGAGTGCTGAGGTTAAAGGCATGCACCACTGAACCTGGCTTAAAAAGAAGATTTTTTTTTAAGGGCATAGAAATACCTGAGTGAGAAAGAAAAGCCTCCAGCTATATCTGTAATACAGATGAAACTCATAAATATTATACCAAACAAAAGAGTCCAGGTGTAAACAGGAACAGAATGTAGGGTTTTGCTTGTATGAACTTCAAAAACAGACAAAACTAGTCCTTCTTTAGCGAAGTTAGTCATTAACCTGATGAGGGCTAGTGGTATTGATTAGGACACAGCATATGACTAGGAATGTAACTCAGTGGTAGAGTACTTGCTTAGCATGCAAGACCTTGGGCTCAATTCACAGAACAGCACAAAACAAACCAGAAAGCAGCATGAAAGATCTACTGGGGTGCTGGAACGTCCTATTTCTTGATCTGGATGTTGGATGGACAGAGGTACTCACTGAACAAAGATACTTACTGCTCATGCGCTTTTCCGAATGTCTGTCATTCATTAAAGTGTATGTTTAAGTCATAAATCCTTTCATTCCCTTCACTGAAGACCAGTAGAATTCTATTGTCCATTCTAGGAATCTAGAGAAAAATCAGCATACAAGAAAGTCAGTCACTGTTCTACTCTGTGATTCCATCCTGAAACAACATTTCTCTCGGGGGTTGCCTGTGTTTAAGTATGGTTTGCTTGTGCCCCAAAGGGTCTGTGTGATGGAGGCTTGGTCCTCATATAGCATTAGAGGTGGAGAATTCTTTAAAGGTAAAGCCTAGTGTGGGGTGATTGGGTCACTGAGGACACTGTCCTTGAAAGAATTTAAATTGTTCTCATGGGACTACATAGTCAGTTCCCATGACAGAAGTTGTTATGATGGAACAAGGCTAGCACTTCCTTAGTCTCTTTGGCTTCCGCTCTCACTCTGTGATTTCCTGTTCTGATGTCATCTGCCAGGAGGCCCTCAGCAAAGGCCAAATACATGGATCTGCTAGAACCAGGACTTTTGGCTTCCAAAACTGAGCTAAACAAACCTCTTTCCTTACAAGTTGCTCAGCTTCAGGACTGATGCAAAGGCAAGGGAAGGACAGCTAAGCTGATCTGGAAGTCCAGAAGGAGAGGAGGGGCGAGAACAAGGAAGAGTCAGTTTAATGGGACCTGCTCTCTCACCCCTGCTTGGTGAAATCAACTTCTCCAGGTTCCGTTGGATGACATTTCCTTCTGAAGCCTTCTTTTCGAATGTCTCAAACAAAACTTAAGGTATGGTACTTGTCTGCCTTACTAATTTATTCCCATTCATTATAGCATTTTCTCGGAGCCAATCCACTGTAATACTGAAAGCTTGAACTACGGAATCAACACTTCAAGGGCTCTCTCTACCACTCCCCATGTGAGCTGAAGAAAATCGCTTAATTATTTTTTTTCCTCAGTTGTAAAGTGTAGATTACAACAACTGCATCTACAATAGGTTGTTGTAAGGATGAACAAAGACAATGGATGTGTTGGTGCTGGAGAACAGTAAAATCTCAGGGAATGATTTCTGCTGCTTTTATTGAATATTATCTAGAGATGGCACACTCCTGAGTAATGTGGAATATGTCTTCGGCGGCTTTTACACATGACACATAGCTTGTCTTGTATGTAGTCACATTCATGTCTTTCTTACTCTAGAGCAAGAACTCCATCTTGATTTTGTTTGTTTGTTTGTTTGTTTGCTTGTTTGTTTGGTTTTATGAGGAGGGGGGAAGTGCTGGGGACCTTACTAAAGGCATCAAATACTCAGTGGTATTGAGCTGCATCCCTAACCTAAGAACCACAACTTGTGTGTGGTAATAACCCCGCACAATGCTGAGGTTTAGACTGTATAAATGCTGTGTAACATGTAGAATTCACTGAGAAGTGTCGTATTATCTGTAATCCGGCAGTGCTTAAAGCAATTTTTTTTTTTTTTTAAAAAGAGCTTCTTTTGTACATTTTCTTATCTCTAGGGTTTCTAGCATTCCAGGTGCTCAGAGTTGTCCCAGTGGGGACACTGAAAGTTCTGGGATCCAGAAAACCCCTCAGTTCAAGACAGTCACCGTACCTGCCTGTGAGTCCCATGCTCCGCTAGCCTGCTAATGGATGAGACATCCAGCTCCTACCTAAAGCCCCTCACTCTGGCATTTCCTCTACAGACTCAGAATAGGCCCTTGAAATCCCCCACGTCCCTGTGTCTCCCATCTTTCCTCTCCCCATCAACGTTCAAATATTCCATTTTTTCTATTTAAAAACAAACAAAGTAATTAAAAATCAACCACAGGGGCCGAGGTTGTAGCTCAGCAACACAGAACTTACCTAGCATGTGGGTGGCCCTGGTAGTTCCCCAGGACAGTAAACAAATAAATACCAACAAAAGTGTCTCCGACCTACATCTTCCTCTAGCTCCCACCCATTTTCTTGGATCTCCTTTATAACAGAATTCCTTGAATGGATTGTTTACACAGAGTCTCTAATTTTGTTTCTCTCTCTTACCATTTTCTGTTGAACCATTCCTGCCAGGGTTTTGTCCCCAACTCTCCACAGAGAAAAATCCAGTCTCTGTTTGCCAATGATCTGGAATTTTCTCAGACTGTTGTATAGTGAGAAATAAACTTCTATTGTATTTATGCATTGTATTTGGTTATACTTTTTTAATCACAAAAATTTGTTCCAGCGTATGTGACAGAGCTAATGACTTCCATATTCACATGTCCGGTTTGTCTACCCCCTCCCCCTGCAGTCTGTACTTGTCTGTTCAACTGTCTAGAACTCAGCCAACTGAGTATGCAATAAGAGTCTCAAACGTAGCATGTCAGTACTAACCTTTTCATTTCCTTCCCCAAGCAGCAGCTCTCTGTCAGAAAGCATCACTCCCTTCCTTGTTCTCACGTCCTGGAGTGATCCTGCCCACCATGACTCCGATCCATTCCATTCACTTGACCAAGAAAGGCCGCCATCTTCCAGGCTGTGTTAGCTTCCTGACTACTCCGGCTGTTTCCTCCCCGCCACAGTCTCCTGAATATGGAGGCAGACAGTCCCAAGAACAGAGGTCAACGTCAGTCATTTTTCTACACGAAACAGTTCCAAGAACAGGGGTCAATGTCATTCATTTTTCTACACAAAACCTCCTCTAGAGGCATCTCATCTCACCATCACGACATGAGGACCCAGGGCACAGAACACATTTGGTAAACACTCTCTTTGGTAAAGGTGTGCCCTTACCTTGACCGGTAAAGTCTAATAATGACCTTTTCTGTTACCTGTCTGCTAGGTGCCTCTTTTTCCTCACAGACTCCTGGCCTTCTAACTCTTCTACACACACACACACACACACACACACACACACACACACACACACACACACACACATGCAGGCATGTACACACAGACCTCCACCACGACCCAAACCTCACCAAACTCCCGGCTGCAGCCTGTAAACCAGCAAACCCTGCCCAGAGGCTCTTCCTCTAGAATCTAGGGTCTAGATCATCTCATGACTCACTCCTGTTCTTACCAGTTTCTCTTCAAGTTTTAAACTTTGCTTTGAAACATTTCTCCATTGTTCTTCCATGCAGTAGACATTACGGTGGGAATATGAAGATGAGTTGAAATAGCCTCCTCCCTCAAGAAACTGTTATATTGAATGGGAGAGTGACCTTCCTGGAAAGTTTCCTAGAAGGGGGGGCCATGAACTGAATCTTTAAAAAAAAAAAGGAGTTAAGGGAGAGGAGGGGGTGTGATAAGAAGAGAGCCTTTTAGGGAGATGGCGTGTACATGGGTAGGGTGCAGAGGCTGTTTGATTGGTCTTATCTATCTCCAGAGCCTGGTCACGCGCTATGATACGAGCACTGGGAAAAGCTCGGTGATGCGTATGGGTGGCAAGAACTGGAAGGTCACAAGGATGATACAGACAAGGAAGCCAAAAACAGAGAGACATGAGGACTTCAGAACACTGCCAACGGCAAAAGGGGGCTCTCAGACAGGGGGTTCAAAGAGGGTGTAAAGCCAGAGACAGTCCATCCTGATGGAAAGGCCAGGAACAGGATTCCTCAGACAGGAAGGGTCAGAGATGCAGGTCTGTTACCACGGACCTTCACTGGTCTCCAGAGTATCATTTTTCCTGGGATCCAGCCCCTTGCAACTTTTCTCACTTGAATCTAGGCTGGATCTATCACTTGCTTTGACTTAGTGTTTCTCAACCAGGGAAGAATCCCCCACCCCACCCTGAGAACATTTACAATGTTTGGAAACAATGGGGAATGCTGTGGGGAGAGCTGCTGTAGCAATTTCTGTGATACTAACAGATAGAAGCTGAGATTCTACCATACAGCAGAGCCTAGTTCCTCACAGCCAAGACTCACCCAGCCCACAATGTCAAGTGCACTGAGATCAAGAAGCCAGCAGAACACAGCCCAGTCCTCCATCTCAACAAGAACTAAACGTTAAGATGATCTAAGACCACCAATGTAGCTCAGAGGCAGAGTGTTTACCAAACATGCTCTATGCCCTGGGTTCAAAACAAAATCAAACAACAACAACCAAACCAGAAAAGTTTCAAAGCTTTCTCTCTTGGAAGAAGGGTAGCCAGACTTCATACATTCCAGCTCAGAGACTCATGGAGACATGACATGAGAGGCCATGTGAAAAGGAAGGAATCCTGAGGCTCCATGGAGACCAACTAAGACGCCGAGTAACAGAATGTAACAGGAAAAGTAAGGCCCCAGATGTCCAGGGTCAGGTAAGCTCTTCCAGGCAGACTCCAGCCATCAGAGCCATCCTGGCTGAAGTAGCTGGCACGTGAGCTGAGAAGTTTTCACGGATACTCTAGCATTACACTTAAGGAACAGAGACAGTGTCATTACTTAGCCCTGTTCAAATTGAATTACGAGCAAATAAAGAAGATTTTGATTTAAAAACCCAAGTCTTAGAATGATTTGTCACATTCCAATAGGTAAAATAATAGTCAGAAAAAGGGTAGACCGTGTTCTAAGTACTTCTTAGCTACGATGTATGAGATGGAATCTGCCATGTCTAATGCATCTTAGCATGCCATGAGGAAATCTAAGCACAAAGGCCCAAGGAAGGTAAGTTCCCACTCGATGTTAGTACAACTTGGGAACAGAGTTGGGCATTGATTCCAAAGGCTACATATGCACCATCAAGCCCTAAATACCATAATCACACATACATTCACTCAACACTTATGGAGAATCCACCATGTGCTAGGTACTGTTCTGTGTTCACAGAGTACACTAGAGACCAGAACAACAACAACAACAAAAAAAATCCTGGACTCATGGCACTAACTTCTAGTGAAGTATGAGAAGCTAGAGGCGTACCACTGGGTGGGAAGACTCCATCCATTTGTATGGTGTGGTGGACATTGTGTTCTGACTGCCAGCCACCTAGTCAAGCACACTCACTTACACCAGGAAATTATCCATTCTGTTAGACAGAGTCTGTAAAGACGGTCACTAGAGGTGGCCAACTGTTAGCCATGCCAGCTCAAGTGCCTTTACTGTGGGATTTGTCTCTTCAGACTATTAGCAAAAAGGCAGAATGGTTGGGGTTCCGTCCCAGCGGGGGCTCCCAGATAAAGCTGTGGAGAGATTGCTGCTACCATGCTTCTCTTCCCCGGCCCTGATTTCAGTCTGTGTAGAGGCTTTACTGTTGATTCCGTGAGCTACCTGATAGCCTCCTCGGGAATTCCTGCCCTGAACCAGGAAGGGACTGGCTCTGAGGCTTGCCATGAAAGGGCTCCGAATCTGGAACTCAGGAGAAGGTCTCTGGGCTAAAGTGGAGAGACTGCTGAGAACCGCGTAAACAACAGTGTCCCCTAACCCGATCCCCTGAAGCTTCATCTCCAGCATCTAAACATGAACAACTGGTATTTCCTCCGTCTTATGTAAAATCTTAAAGCCACTCCACTCACGCTTCCTTCCTGAAACTATATCACCTCAGGAAGAACTCTGAGCAGAGCCATTTTGAAGCCAACACCAAAAGCCATTTTCACAGCAGAGACTGAGGTCGGCACAGGTTAGCTAAAATGGGCTAAAACCAAACTGTGGAGAAAGCCGAGGTCAGGCCTGACCCTGGCTTCAGAACCAGACCAGCAGCATGCAGACAAGAAAAACCAGATTCCCAGGCCCCATCTGGACTCACCCAATCAAAATCTCTATGGCAGAGACCAGGGGTTTTCAGTTCCAGACACTAACCAATGGTTGTGAGCCCCACCCCCACCCCAGACACACACACAATTTTGATAGCCAAGGTTTTCAGTGCTGGACCACAGCCCTTTAGAGTGTTGTCTAAGTTTAGTATGTGGATGTGTGGCCTCACTGAAATGCAGATTCTGATTCAAAAGGTTGGAAATGGAGCTAGAAAGTCTCCCTTTCTGCTAAGTTCCCAGCTGATGACTCCAGATGGGTCACAGGGTCGTGAACCTAAGCAGGAAACTGGCATCAGAAGGCAGGAAGAGAAGCCGAAAAGCAGAGCTTCGTACTCAGGCCTTGGCAAACAGACAGAATGCAGCCTCGGAGCCTGCAAAGCCAACAGCTAAGCTTCGCTACAGCACTGTTGCCGTCCTCCTGGCTTAACCTATGTGGCTCACAAGCAGTTACAAGACCCGATCCATTAATTATGTCCTTAAATAGCTCCTCCACTGCGCCCCAGCCTCTGCAATTCCTTGTTCAGCATTTTAAGAAGAAACAAAGACAAAGAGGTGATTCAGAAGTTCAATCTCATGCAATTAGGTGCTTTGTTCTTAATTAGAATGTAAAGTTCTCTTTTTGTAGGCCGTTGAATCTGTGGAGATAATCAGTTTTGTGTTTACTGTTCTAATAAAATCTACTTCATAGTACGGAAACGAAAGCATCTACAAAGCTGACATAGATTCCAAATGATGTACTCAACAGAATCAGATTATTCTGAAGCATTTGTGCATGTTTGATTACCAGACCTGGACCTTCCCTTCCTGTTCATCGAAGCATTCAATAGTAATTACTGCTCAGGTATTATGCTGAGTGCTGGCACAGGTTACTGACAGCAGATGGTCCCAAAGGCCTCATTCAGAAACCCGGGAATTGAGCCTTTGCATGGAGTTTAATCAAAATCTTAGGATCCACTCCATTGTTGGATTTACTTATTTAATGGAAGACTATGTGCAAAGCCCTTTTCTGAGTTCTCTGGAGGAAACCCAGAAATGAAGGTAGAGTTCCAGATGGGAAGAAATAAACAACAGGTGGCCCGGGGTTTGCTCAAAATTCCAGTCACATGGAAAATGGATGTGGTTTTGTTTTTTGAGTCATTTCCATTTCAGGTTTCAATGTAAACTGCTCAGCATAAAGTGGGTTATATGTGTGTGTGTGTGTGTGTGTGTGTGTGTGTGTGTGTGTGTGTGTTACATTTCATTTTATGTGTGTGTTTGTGTGCACATGTGTACCATGCCACACATGTGGGGATCAGAGGACAACTTGTGTGAATTGATTCTCTCCTTCCACTATGGAGGTCTCGGGGATTGAACTTGGGTCATCAGCTTGGTAGCCAGCACCTTGACCAGCTGAGCCGTCTCACTGGCCCTAAAGTAGGTTTTGAATAGCCACCACAGTGGTTCTATATAAAGGCCAAACTATAAGTAAATTGATATTTTGGTTAAGTGTAAACAGTATATTCAGGGTAAAAGAATCAGGAGCCTCAGAGCCCTTTAGGTCTACATACAGAAGTATATTAAGCCATAAGTCTGAAAACACTCTGATTTATACACAAATCATTTCTAAATTATCCATTTTCAGCACATATGAGTATTATTAAAAGAATGTCTTAAGCACTCATATAAATTCTTTATGATGGGGCTGAGCTGTTTAAAGGAACTCCTGGAAGTGATTAGGAGAGAACACGAGACAGGCAGAAAGGAGTCCAGAGCCATGCGAGACTGGGAAAAAAGGGCAGCATGGGTAGGGTAGGGTGAAGGGCAGCATGGGTAGGGTAGGGTGAAGGGCATCATGGGAAGGGTGGGGGTGAAGGGCATCATGGGAAGGGTGGGGGTGAAGGGCAGCATGGGAAGGGTGGGGGTGAAGGGCAGCATGGGAAGGGTGGGGGTGAGGGGCAGCATGGGTAGGGTGAGGGTGAGGGGCAGCATGGGAAGGGTGGGGGTGAGGGGCAGCATGGGAAGGGTGGGGGTGAAGGGCAGCATGGGAAGGGTGCGGTGAGGGGCATCATGGGAAGGGTGGGGGTGAGAGGCATCATGGGAAGGGTGGGGGTGAGGGGCAGCATGGGAAGGGTGGGGTGAGGGGCATCATGGGAAGGGTGGGGTGAAGGGCAGCATGGGAAGGGTGGGGTGAAGGGCAGCATGGGAAGGGTGGGGTGAGGGGCATCATTGGAAGGGTGGGGGTGAGGGGCATCATGGGAAGGGTGGGGGTGAGGGGCATCATGGGAAGGGTGGGAGTGAGGGGCAGCATGGGAAGGGTGGGGGTGAGGGGCAGCATGGGAAGGGTGGGGTGAAGGGCAGCATGGGAAGGGTGGGGGTGAGGGGCATCATGGGAAGGGTGGGGGTGAGGGGCATCATGGGAAGGGTGGGGGTGAGGGGCATCATGGGAAGGGTGGGGGTGAGGGGCATCATGGGAAGGGTGGGAGTGAGGGGCAGCATGGGAAGGGTGGGGGTGAGGGGCATCATGGGAAGAGTGGGGTGAAGGGCATCATGGGAAGGGTGGGGTGAAGGGCAGCATGGGAAGGGTGGGGTGAGGGGCATCATGGGAAGGGTGGGGTGAAGGGCATCATGGGAAGGTTGGGGTGAGGGGCATCATGGGAAGGGTGGGGGCAGATGGGCTGAGACACAGGTAAGAAGGGTAGAAGAGAAAGAGAGAGGCACAGGCACGATTACCCTGAAAGACTCAAGAAGAAAGGCAAAGTATCAAAAGCAGCTTTATCTCCTGGGAGAGGCCAGAATGGACTGAAGTACCTGGAATAGCCACCCACACAGCATTCTCTATCCGTTAGTGCTGCCATGGTCTACTGTGGTGCTTTCCATTCGGCCTAACTTTTCTGTATATTAATATATGTTTCTATCTTCCATTTTTCAATTAGAATACCAGATCATGATACCAGGTCATATTCTCTGATATCTTCCCCAAATCTAGATCAGCGACTGACTGTAGTAAACACAACAAAGTATTAATTGGAGGAATTAATAAGCGAAGTTGAGAAAGGGACTTTAAGATAAGAAAAGACCAATAGAGATACAATGACCCAAATAGAGATACCATAAAAAGATGGTGGAAATGATGGTAAATAAAAATGTAATTATTGCATAATGTAAGATTTAAGCAATTATGTGCTATACCTTGAGTATGATTCACCCTGGCCCAAGCAATATACTAGGGTTTGGTGCCCAATTAGTAGTGTTAAGAGGTGGAGCTTTTATGGGGTGATTAGATTAAGAGGGATTAATATCATTCTCATGACACTAGATTCCTTTCCTTGGAATGGATTAACAGTGTAACAGCAGGTTGTTATAAATAGGGCCAAGGCCTGTGTGTGTGGCTTAAGGATAAAATCCCGGCTAGCATGCACAAGGCCGAGCATTCGATACACAGAACTGTTCTGCACCCCACAGTCCCCCAGCTCTCGTCAGGATTCCCTGCGTGCACTCTTGCTTTCTACCTTAATTTGAAGCAGCTTGAGGCCTTCGTTAGTAGACACCATTGCTTCACCCAGACCTTCTCCATCTCTGGAACCGTGAGCCCCGAACTCTCTTCTTTGTGACTTTCCCAGTCTCGGGAAGTCTGTTGTAACAACAGACCACAGATTAAGACAATATACAAGACCCTAAACACATTCAAACTCCAACTGAGGCATCAAAGAAACATTGTAAAATATTTATGAGTACGACAATAAAAGAATATAGCAGTTCTCAAAGAGAAAAACCCATCCCTCAATTCCAGTTTGAAGGACCTACAGACTCATGAAAGCCTCCAAGCCTTCCCACCCTTGGCTGCAGAAAAGAGCCTTCCAGAAAAGTTCCCTTGCCCTGGGGCATCTTGGACCCTCTGTGTAAAGTCACATTGGAGGGAGCATCAAAAGTTACTCAGAAAAAGGAGAAACGCCAAGAGAGAAATAAGCCTCGTGAAGCCGGTCACTAGTCAGAAAAGAAAATTTGACAGATCCGCCCTCTTACTGCTCCCTTTCCCCTCAGACAATGTCTTATTGTTCAGATTATGTTTATCTGAGAGGAGACAAAGCCCGGGCTGTGCGCCTGTAGTTGGGTATCTCCTAGTACTTCTTTTAACCAAAAGTCTCGGACTTTTGGAGCAGGACTGATGCTGGAGAGGCCAGATTAAGCAAAGGACAAAGGAGCAACTTGTGACTCTATCAGGAGAGACTATTCCAAGGCACCTTCTGCACCAGAGGACTGGACTGAATTGGTCCTTGGTTTGTGAGCACTCCCTGCCTGCTACTAATCCTCTTCAGAAGGAGAGCACATTCACAGCCTCCACCCCTGAAAACGAATGCAAATGTTGGTGAATCCCACACTGGTGGTTACCTCCCAAGAGTGAGGGGCACTCATTTATTTATTTTAATTGTATTTAACGTATTATAAGACAGCATCTCACTATGTGGCTCTGGCTACCCTGGAATTCGCTATGTAGATCAGGCTGGCTTTGAAGGCACAAGAGCTGCCTGCTTCTGCCTCCTGCGTGCTGGGATTAAAGATGTATGGCCCCCATGCCTAGCTAGCAGACATTTATTTTATAAAGGCTAAACAAACGGTGAAAAGGATGTTTGCTTGTTCTTGTTGTTGCTGTTCTATTTGATTTTAAAACTGCATTTATTTATTCGAGGAGAGGGGGGATGTGCATGCCATGACATATGTGAAAGTCAGAGGATAACATGTAGGAGCTGGTCTGTCCTTCCAAGAAGGTTCCAGGAGCAAAAGACAGGTCACCAGACTTGGCAGCAAATGCTGTTACCCACTGAGCCATCTGGATGGCCCCTATGACAGTTTAAAAAATATTATTAAGTAAAACTTCGGTGGATTATAGGTAATTTTTTGTTGTTGTTGTTTTTTCGAGACAGGGTTTCTCTGTGTAGTTTTGGTGCCTGTCCTGGAACTCACTCTGTAGACCAGGCTGGCCTTGAACTCACAGAGATCCACCTGGCTCTGCCTCCCGGGTGCTGGGATTAAAGGCGTGCGCCACCACCGCCCGGCGGTAATACATTTTAAATTTCGTTTTTCCACTTGTTTTTGTTGTTGTTATTGCTGTTTGGTTCAGTATTGGAAAGTGAACTCAAAGTCATGTGCATACTACACAAGAGATCTACCACTGAGCTATATAGCACTGATCCCTGATAGTTTTAATATTCACGTATTTTTAAGAAATCAAGTGGTAGATGAAAAATCATATTTTTTTCTAAAAAAAAAACCCAAAAATTGATCATTAGTTTGAAAATTGGCCATTGTGGCTGTAACTACCTCAGATGGATTTTTTGATCTCTGCTCACATATTTTGTCTTTATACCACTGAATACTGTGATAATTCCTGGTGCTAGATTGACAGGATTATACCACAGCTTGGATTTGCTAAGTTGCTGATGCGGTCGAAGCCTGTCCCAGATTCTTCTTCTCACTTTTTTAATTGAAAACAAACATATCTATCGTAAGGTGCACGGCCTATCAGTCTTGAGTATATAGCTTAATGAACTTTGACATGCCATCATTGAAAAATGACCACTAAGATCAAAATATATTTCTAGTACCCTCAAAGATGTCTTTCAACCTTCTCCCAGTCAACCCTCTCCAAAAGGTAATAGTTATGCTGACTTCTTTTATTGCAAATTAATTTTATACATCTTAAAACTCATAAATATAATCATAAAATGTGCAATAATCTACTATGATAGATGATAATAAGTTTGTGTGCACATTCCCAACAGCTCAGACTTCAATGAATGTGTTATGAGGGTGAGATAGGAACACAGGAAGGACTTTTGCCTAGACTGATTGCCTGTCTGTCTGTCTGTCTGTCTATCTATTTCTGTCAATCTATCTATCTTTCTATGATGATCTATCTATCTACCAATCACCTATCTATCATCTATTTCTATCTATCTGTCTATCTATATCTATCAATCTATCTATATCCATCCATGTAGCTCAGTCTACCCTGAAACTTGCTAAGTCGTCTAGACTGGCCTTGAATTTACAACCCAGTTTCCTCAGCCTGCCAAGGGCTGGGACTCCAGGCCTTCATCACCAGAGCCCACACACCCAACTTTTGAAGGAAGAGGAACGGGTTCAGACTTGTGGTAAAACATAGAGGGATCAAAGGTAAATATTTACTCTCACTAAAGCAGTGATTTCCAAAGTGTGGTTTCCAGCCACCTGGACCAGACTGACCTGCAGTCCTTGCAACAAGCTGCCAATGACCACCACTTACCTCCTGCCTTCTTCATTAATAATCTGCATTTATTGATTTACACATTCATTTTTAAGGTTGGCATACAAATGGGCTTCATTATGACATTTTATATGTATATGTCATTTCTCAGATGATAATCCGAATTTAAATATGCCACTTGATCTCTGCATTTGTTTTCCTTGTCTGGACGTTTTGTTTTGTTTTCACACTTGAATTAGAACATAGGGAACCAATATCATCGTTCAAATAAAATGGTAGAGCAGGTTAGAAATGCCTTCCCTGGAAGTTCAGGTTTAAGTGTTTGGGTTAAATCCAAGTGGGTAAGGGAAAACCCTTGAAGAAGTTGTTAAAGGGAAGAATTTGTAAAAATCAAGATAAGTGGCCTTCGTAAGTGCCGCTTTCCTACTTCTCGACTGTGACACTGTCGAGGGCTGGCTCCACGACAGCGATGCCTTAACTAAAGGCCAAAGCAGAAAGGGATACTTTCCTCTTTTGCCACCGGTTAAGGGTCAGGAAACCTGCTCTATAAAGGGATTGTTAAATAAAACTCCAGGAGGGCTTCGGTTTGGCCTGAGCTCCTGCCGCGGACCCAGAAGAGCAAACAAAATGGATTCGCTCAAGCTAACTTTCTGGTCCACAAGCCCCCATCTCAGTTATCTGATGTGAAGGGAAATAATGAGGCAGGAGGGGAGGGGCGAGCTTGAGAAGCCACAGCAGCCCTAGGACAAGGAAGTCCCTCCTAGCTGACAAAAGAGGGAAGGAAGGCTGAGACCACCGCCTTCTTCCACCCGGGAAGCTGAGTTTAGTGAACTGGTGGGTTCATTAAACACTTGTTCCATTTTATAGAATGAAGCATTGGCAGGTTCTAGAACCACGGTTAGAAACCAAGATGGGGAAAGTTGTAATTTTGTCTTCTGACAAGCTAGATAGTAAATATTCTAGGCCCCACGAACCACATAGTCTCTGTTACACCTACACAAATGTGCCTTCATAGCAGGAGACAGAAAGTAACCCCCAAATATGTGAATCAACAAGCCTGGCTAAGTTCCCATACGCATCGTGTGTGAAATGAGGTGGGCAGGATTTGGCTGATGCAAAGGAGTAATTTGCCCAGCCCAGACCCAAATAATTTCAGTGAGCCTAGTGAGAGGCTTAAAATGCAACATTTATCTCCAAAAAACTTATCTCCTGATAGCAACTCCTACCAACAACTGTATTGAGTGGCTTCAGTTTTAAACAAATATGAATCTGGAACAAATTATGGAGGGGGAAAAACCCCATAAAATCTAGACTGTGATATACTCTACATGATGAGAAGTGATGAGAAGTGGAGATGGGGTTGGAGGATGCAGAGGGAATGCTTCAGTATAGAGTGAAACAAAGTTAAGAGATTTATTACCAAACACATGAAGCTTGCTTAAACCCTGAGCCGTAAAAGAAAAAAACAAAACCAGCTTGAATAATATAGAGAGGACAACTGGGGACATTTGAACACAGCCGTTATACTAGATGATATATCAGTGTTTTATTTCTCAGCTGTGATAACGATACTGCAGTTTTATAGAGAACGATGTTATTCTTAGAAGAATATGATAATGTTTAGGGATAAAATAGTGTGCAGACTGCTTTAGTGGAAACCAGAATGGGAGGAAGAGAAGGACACAGTCCTTACAACGAATAAATTTAGGTGAGGGCACATATGGTGATGGTACCTTTTGTTCTTAGTTTGGTTTTTCATGTTTGGAGACAGGGTCTCCCAGCTGGACTACAACTTGGTATATAGTTCAGGCTGGTATCAAACTCTCAGCAATTCTCCTGCCTCATACAGGTATGAGTCACTCTTCCTGGCTCCATACACAGGTTTGCGCATACTGTGATCTCATTTTTTTCTGTGGCTTTGAATGGAAAAGAATGAGAGCGAATAAATGTGGTCAGTCTATAGCACTCTCTCTTTTTGAAATCTGGGCTGAGCATTTACATCTTTCAGATCTGCTTATTCCTATTCTTGTGCCCCCCCTTCCTCTCTCTCTCTCCACCCTTCTGTGAGTCTCCTTCCTTCTGTGTGAGGTGTAGAAAGCCAACCAGAAGGAAGTAGCAGAGGCACAATCGCCAAGGTGATAGAATCTGTTTACAAGTTCCCTGCCTCAGGCAGGAGTCCTCCTCCTGTATCTTCCGCTTCTTCCTGGAACAGCCCAGATTTCCCTTCAGTCATTTCTGGATTGGAACAAACTCTCACTCAGCCTTTCTGTTTCCTTCCCTTCCTCCTTGGTAGTTACAGAACAGGCAATGAAAACTGGGGTGCAGGAGGGGGTTGTGGAGGTGGAGTGCTTGGCAGTCACAGATTAGATACATCACTTAACTTCTGTAAGCTCTAGTTTCCTTGTTTATAAATGGAACACACCATTTTTCTTGCTATGGTCAAGTGTCGCAATATAATTTTTCTTTACTGGGCAAGAAATTTCTAGATATCTAAAGATTGATCTGGGATAATTGCTGAGCTCAGCCTAAAGCAAGTCTTGATGTTCTACAAGAAAGAACACAGGAGAGCGAGAGAGAAAGGGAGAGGGAGGAGGGAGGGGAGGAGAGGGGAGAGAAGAGAGAAGAGGAAAGGGAATTTGAAATAGGAGGTCTTATAGGTTCCTGAGGGCAAAGTGCAAGGTCCTTTGAAGTCTTTTATGATTCCAGTCTGCCCAGATAGTATCTGTGGCTTTTCAAGCCTTTCCGGAAGAGCAGTCACTAGGTGCT